ATGAATGAATGAATGAATGAACGAACGAACGAACGAACGAATGAATGAATGAATGTATGAATGAATGAATGAATGAATGAATGAATGAATGAATGAATGAATGAATGAATGAATGAATGAATGAATGAATGAATGAATGAATGAATGAATGAATGAATGAATGAATGAATGAATGAATGAATGAATGAATGAATGAGCAAATGTAAAATCATCATCATATTCAACTTTGCTATGGTTATCATCATTGTTATCACTGCTACCATCATCTTCATCACCACAGTCATCATCGACATCATCATCATCATCACCACCACCACCACCATCATCATCATCATATCTTCCAGAACATTCTGCACCACATATACATTGAAGGGCCGCAGACAGAAGAGATATTTAAAAGGAAGGGCGACTCGAACGCGATTGGTTCCTTGATAGAGATGCTGAACGATTGGAGGGGGTTTGATGTTGCCAAACAATCCATTCACGATTTAGCTGGCGTCTTATTGGTTCGAATTTTATTCATCCCCCTCCTAATAGGTTGACGTATCTCTTTTGTGATTGGCTAAATTGAATCATAATTATCATTAATAAAGATTATTATTATTAATATAATTATTAATTATTATTATCAGAGGTGGACATGGGTCCATTTTTACTGACCCAACCCAACCCATCACTTAACTCAACCCATCCCAACCCAACCCGCCTGAAAATGCAACTTTTCAACCCGACCCAACCCAACCCACGACCCATCTGCACGAGTCGCAATTTTACCAAACAGGCAAATTTTTACAAATGATATTTAAAAAGCAGAACTCAAAAATACAAGATCATATGTGTAATAAAACACACTGGTGAAGTAATCACACTGCAAGTGTAATAAAATAACATGAAAATTAACTAAAAATTAAATGTTACTAATATTTTCCCACAACGTCAGAAACATCAAATTTTCCATATTTGGCACCTAACTCAACACAGCTCTGCATCAAATTGAGAAGCCCTTTATTTTCAACAGATTTGAATGAGTGGTAACCATCAACACAGNAAAAGATCTGTCTATGCTTCAACA